CACGCTTTTCCTTTGCTATTTATCCTATGATTCTGTTTACCGACATTACTTAATAAAACCAGCGAAGAAGAAGGCAGGGAAGCTACATCCTAAGTGGAGGCTAAGCTCATACCTGGTGGGAGGGGATAATGGCACACTAGCAATGACAGGGCAGTAGATGAGAGCTTCGTACCAGCATAATAAAGTGTGTACAGCTGTTGAGATCTACAGTGAATTTCAACTGTAGCATTGAGACCAAGGATTTGGAAGATGAAATCATATATCTGAGGATATGTCCTATAATGTGAAAGACAGATAAGAGCATGCAGAGCAGGGCATCGCCTGATTGATCCAGCCTCAGAAAACAAATTTTGCATTCTCCATACTTGAGAATGCAAAATTTGGGTCCAGGACAGAAATGGGATGAATATTCATCTAGCTTTTAATATTTGCAATCAAAATACTCTCAACAATTATGGTGTTTTGTTTTTTTTTCCTCTGCAACCCAGAGAGTAGACAGAAACAGTAGCTTGAGGAAAACTTTCCAATTCACAGTGGTGGGTTTGATCCCAGCAATTTGATTTCTGCAATCAATTAATTCTAGTGAATTCCTGGAGAAGTCAGTAATAGAAACAGTTGTTAAGTTAAGATAAAGTTAAGAGAAAACTGTGTTCAGTCTCAAAACCTGCATTGCTTCTCTATTAAATGTGTAATCTGGACAGTTGCAACGGCTACTGAAAGCTATAGTCAGCTAGGCTGAAAGCAGAAGCTTGTTACATGTCTAGACAAAACGAGCCTGCGTCTCACAGCTGCAGTACGTTCAAAACAAATGCATCACCCAAGATCTGCCAACAAAGAATTATTCAGCAAATAATTTCAAAGAGAGCATTTAAAAAAAGAAAAAAAAAGCAGAAAACAACGTATCTTACTTCATAAACAGAAGTCAAGGAGAAATTAAATCACAAAATTATCTGCTACAGTTCACAACTGTAAGCACAACTGCTCTGATCCTCTTTAGCAAGTATGCAACTGGAAATGAAAAGCAGAGGATAGAACAGCCTCAGAGCAGCGTAGGCTGGAAGATTTTCTTGCATTTTCTTCTGCAAAGGCAGCCAGACTATCAAGCCTAATGTTTAATCAGATGTACTGTTGGCTCAGGAATGAGAGTGAAGAGGGTATTTCAAAGTACTGAAACTGTCAAAAATCCACCATAATTCTTAGAATTCTCTTTTTTGAAAAAAAATAAAATACTGACCTTTTGGACCAGGAATGCTTGGAAGAATGTGTAATAGAGATAGATGGCACACATGAGGATTATGGATTCATATTAAATACACCATAGATATGCACTGTTGTTCTGTGTTAAGCAATCACTTTCTAAACAATCACTTTTTAAACTTTCTCTTGTCAGTGTATCTTGTTTTCTGTCCAAGTCCACTTATTCTGAGAACAGTCAATCATGGTTTTTCTTCCACAATGTGATTTTGTTTCTTTCAGAAGATTTTTGAGCTCAGAATATTACGTTTGGAGCTTGCATTCCAAAGTGTATCTTTAGAGCCACATCACAGTAAAAAGCATTTCTCCATGAGGAAGTCTTGTAGCTCCTGTATCATTTTCTATGTTGTCCTTTTCCTTGCCTCTCTCTACCTGTGTAGGATTGGAAGAACACCTCCGAGAAAAAAAAGGCCAGAACCCTTGATGCTGAAGAAGAGCCAACAAAGCTGAACTGCTCGTCTCAGAAAAGTTTTTTTTTACACTATTTGTTCTCTAGTGCTGGTGCTCCCAGCCTCCATACTTCCTCTCCTTTACTGACAGGTAACACACCTTCTCTCACATTGCCAGTCCATTTCCTATTCTTTCCTAAAGAAACCAACCAAAATAAAACTTGTATGATTAAGGTGCATTTTGATGATGTGAGCCAACTCAATGAGGGAATGTGATGACCTTGATAAGTAAAAAGCCAAGTTCTTTTCACACTGAAAGCATGAATTATGGATCTTGCCAAAACCACAAGCTAGAAAAAATTCCTTCCTTTGCCCAATAGTCATTTGAGTTCTAATGATCTCTTTCAGAGTCCCAGGACTTTTCTTCTATCTATTTTTTGTTGTTTGTTTGTTTGTCTGCTTATTCCAATCAGCAAAGAGACAGTGAAAAGAGAATTTATCCATCACCTCTCAGCTTTGTGGCACCCTTTCCCATGTGATCTGTTGTTTGGTTAATGCCCACTTCAAATTCAGGAAGAAAAAAGGGTTTCTCAAAGATCAGTCATCGTTATTAGCATTCCTGCTGTACTGCTAAGGCAAAGTATTTAATATTAATGACCACTGATATTCCTGTGCTGTTTGTCCTGCATTCAAGATGCTTGGTCTTGACATGGAGGAAAAGCAAAAGTGAAGGAACAATATGGTCTCATCACCAAAATAGTGCACAAAAACCAAAATGGATGTTTCTTGTTTGATGCTCACTAAATCATGGACAGCGATAAGCAAAACCTACAGTGTGTGCTGCCACTGCATAGTGGCTGTGGTTTAGCAAATGGGAATCCAAGTCGTTTCTGGATTAATGCTCTAACATAGTGCCAGGGGACACTGTGCTGCTGGAGATATCATTATTTAACTAAGATGTTTTGTTATTTATATTGCACATTACATTCAAGAAGAGGACAATGTTCCTATTCCAAAGAGGACAGAATCAAAAGGCCATATTGCAATTTGACCCTGGAGGGGTATAAGAGTGAATAAAATACATCTGGTGCACCTTTGAGCAGAATTCACTGTGAGCACAGGGGTGGAGGAAAGGAGAGGATGTTTCCCCAGTGCTGGCTCCACCAGATGAGCAGAGAGAGAAATGAGAACGAGAGAAAGGCTCCCCCCTGTTCCTCTCACATGCCACACTGCGTGCAAGGACGAATAATCCACCACTGACTTTGAAGGCAGGAAGGGCAGATTGTGTATGCTACTGGTGTACTATATTCTGAGGTACAGAAGTTACTCCACCTTCCCCTGTTCAGCTGCAAGCATATGTGCTCGAGCCAGTCCCGATTTAGAATTATACAATAAGAAGAAATGATAAAATACCAATAAATGTCAAAGAAAAAAACACAAATCCTGCCTGCTGTAAGAGCTCATAAAACTTTTTCTAAGACACAGCATGCAAGACATGATGTTTGACTTAAATTCCTGATTAAATAAATACATTCTGCCTACCTAAAATGCATTTCTTGTTTTGATTTGACGAGTGCATCATGCTCAGTCTAGACTTTAAGCAGCGAAGAATAGTCTATTAAAACAGAATTTATATGGGGTAAAACTCACTTGAGAAATAATCTGATTTACATATGTCTTACTGTTTCCCAACAAGAACCCAGTGGCTTTCTCTCAGACTCCTGCAGAACGCTTTCATTGTGATCCTTCCTTGCTCTTCCAGCCATTTTCCTGAGACATTGCTACGTTGTGCGCAAACACAGCAGTTCAGCCTGGGAACTTGTTTAACAACTCCTTGCAAATCTTTTGGGAAAGACACCCAATGAAGGATGTGGGACTTTGGCAGCAGTAGCAGAGAGCAATCAACTTCCAGGTGAGGGTCAAAGGCAATTTATACCAAAATGCTGATGCGCAGCCATAATTTGGCCATTGGTTATCTCACCAAACAAACTGACAGAGATAATCACAGCATTAATCTTCAAGAAACCCCGGCCCTAGATGAATCATTTACATACTTTTTCTAAATATGGCTCCAATAAATGTTCTGAAGTTGTCATTACCAACTGGACAGTCTTCCAACATCAACAAAAAGCAGATACAATGTGGAAGAGGAAAGAATGCCAGTGCCGTATTAATAACTATTGGAGCATGCAGACAAATATCCAGCTCTCAGTCAAAACTTAAGGGTCATCCAAGTAGTTATTTAAATTGTTAAAGATAACATGAACTTGGACTCAGCCTGTAAAGGGAAACTAATGACTGTGTGCCGAGCAGTGATCCCCAACCTCTCCTGACCTCGGACAATAACTCGCTCAGCGTTACGTGGTGTGGGCAACATCATACTTTACTCTCCCTAATGGCCTTCAATTTTAACTTTTTAATTTCCTGTAGCTCAGAGCAGCAGGAGAAGGTTTCCCAAGCGTTTGCTGCTCACTGCCAGGGCTGGGGACATGCGAGGGGAGGAGGATGAAGCTTGGTTCTCTGCTTGCTGTGGATGGGATACAGAGCCTTCAACCCTCGCTGCATGCTGGGTTTGGGGTAGAAATGATGCTGTGTCTGTCACTCTGCTTACTGGTGCATATATATGCGTGCACTGACTCCACAGAAGCGCACCCTCAGAACATACGAGAGTTATTTTCACATCCTCGCTTAAATCAAGCAGAATGGTCAGGGTGGGGTGGGTAAAAAATCAAACGAGTTTCGTAAGTTCGCAGGCGGTTCGCACCAGGACAAGGGCCCGAGCTGGGCCGGCACAGAGCGGCCACGGCCTGCGTGCGAGGGGCTCCTTCCCTCGCAGCTCCTTCCCCCGGAGCTCACGGGGACGGGGCGGCGTGCAGCACAGCTCTCCCTCCGCTCCACAAAGCGCTGAACGAAGGGCGCTGCGGCGCTCAGGCGGAACCCAGCCCCAAGCCGGCCGTTCCCTTCCGCCCCTGCCGGGCACCGCCGCCGGGAGAAAGGGAAGGGGAAAGGAAGGAAGGGAAGCACCGCCCGCCCGCCCGCGGCCTCGGGGAGGGGGCGAACTCTGCCCTCTGCCCTCTGACCGCCGCCGCCGCCGCCGGCAGCATGGGGAAGGCGGAAGCGGCGGAGCCGGCCCGTCAGGCCGGGCGGCGCGGGGGGAGCGCGGCGAGAGGCTGAAGCGGCGGGAGGGCAGCGCGGAGCGGAGCGGAGCGGGGCGGCGGCGAGCGCGGTCCTCCCCCCCCCGCGCCGCCCGCCGCCCTGAGGCACCGGGAGCGTAAGGGGCCGGGAGGCCTGCGGGGCCCGCGCTGCGACGGGGGGCTGCGGCGCGCCGGGCGGAGGGGCCGCGGGCCTGGGGATGCCCTGGGGGCGGCGGGACCGGGAGTCCCGGGGCGTGCGGGGAGCCGGGGCTGTGCCGGGAAGGGCGGACGGGCCGGCCGAGGAACCGGGAGCCCCGTAGCGATGGAGTCGCCCGCAGGGCTGCCCTGGGGGGGGGAGACGCGAGCGGTGGTCCGTGCCTCCTGAGGAAAGCGCTCGGAGAGCAGCGGCCCGCGTCGGTGGCAGGTGCCTCCGCTGTAAGTGCCCTTACGCAGTAACTTGGAGACTTAAGAGACTTTGTTTTGGTTATTGCTGCTGCCGAGAGCTTCAAAATGATGCTGGCAGAGCAAGCCCAGAAGTGGTTCCCAACTCACGTGCAAGTCACGGTTCTTCAAGCCAAAGGTCTGAAGCCCAAAGGCAAAAGTGGCACCAACGATGCGTACACCATCATCCAGCTGGGCAAGGAGAAGTATTCCACCTCGGTGGCTGAGAAGACCCTGGATCCAGTGTGGAAGGAAGAGGCCTCCTTCGAGCTGCCCGGATTGCTGATGCAGGAGAACCCGGACAGGTACATCCTGTACCTGATTGTCATGCACAGGTCGCTGGTGGGGCTGGACAAGTTCCTGGGACAGGTGGCCATAAGTCTGAACGATGTATTTGAGGATAAGCAAAGAAGGAAAACAGAGTAAGTGCTAGTTGTTTCTTTGTTTTCATTGTGGCTTGTTTGCTTCGTGTACTTGGGCTTTGGAGGAGGGTAGAAATAGAAGCCTCGTTATCAAAGTATTTGGAAATGAGATTAGGACATTTCTTTCTTCTGCAGTGTTCAGAGCCCCAGGGATGTACAGTTATGTCACTGGGGACTGAGAAGTCCTCTGTAATCACAGAGGCAGGGCTGTCAATAACATTAACATTCTTTGACAGATTATTGTGTACAACGTGAACTCATTGCAATCTGTATTTCTAATGATTTTTTTCTACCACCCGCTCAAGGCAATATCCCTGTTCAACATGTGCCCCAGTTTGAACCATGGATAAGACTCAGTCTTTCTTGAAGCCTGATGTCATTCTTTCTAAAAATGCTTTCCATCAACTCCTGCAACCAATTGTCTTTAAATACTTTTTATTTATGTTTTAGTGGCCACTGAACTGTGACTTATGAAGGCTTGCCACAGTAGTGCAGTGCTTTTCTTATCCTGATTAGTCCTAGGCCATGATCCTTGCTATAGCAGGCCTCTATGGAGAAGACAGAAGAGAAAGTGCTGCTATTATAGTAGCCTCCATCATTGCATACGGAAATATTTGTTGAATAGAATAGTCATTTGCCAGCAAATTCTAACACTAGAATGCAAGAAAACAAAAAATACAAGAATCACAGCAGTGTATTAGGCTGAAAAGTATATGTGTCAAACTGTTGTGGGTTTTTTTTGTGAGCGTTCCTCAACTGATCTGGTAAAATTGTTAGCATCTCTGGTGAGGATATGGTTGCACAAAGATATTTGGTAGCAGTGTAATTATCCTACAAAGTTTGTGGGAGTAAATTATATAGGTGTAAGTGTACTGTTTGTATGCCTGGGACTGTTTGTTGTAGGTAGACGTGTCCCATGGAGGTGGCACAAGAGCAGCATGGAGACTTCTAGACTAGCTATGTGTAGGCAGAGATGTTCTGCATTGGTTCAAAGTTAATGCCCAGGTGTCTTTCCTCCTCTCCTCTAGAAGTCAATATCTCATCTGTAGAGTAGAAGTGACCCTGTGCCCAAACCTCAGCTGTTAAAATTGAAGCCTGGTATTTCTTGTGTTCACTGTGGTGGGTTTACGGTAAGATGCTGGACTTTGCATCAAAGTGACTAAGACTCTGGCATCATTTATCTTTTGCTGACTGTGCTGTGGAGGCGTCAACCTCCAGCAGAGTCAGAGCAGACAGTTGGAGACGGCAGTCAGTGCAGCAGTATTAGCCAGATCATGCTGATCAGTGCCTGAAAGCCATCCCAAAACCTGGCTCTGCTTATGTGTGGCGGTGGTTGAGGTTGAAGGAGCTCTGAAGACAGGTCAAAGTTGTCTTTGGATTGCTTTTCTTTTTTCTTTCCTTTAATTTTTTAGCAAAATATGTTCACTAAACATATGCTAGAGAGCAAAGCATCCTTACAGAATCTCTTGTGGGTTTATGGTGTGAAGTAACGTACTTTTTAATTGCTTATCTTTTTAAGGACAAACCAACAGCAGTACAGTTATCTTTATGCAATATGTGGTAAGGCGTGTAGCTTTAGGCTCTTAATTTCTGTTTACATTGGGTTCAAGAAGTTTCAGTGCTCTTTAGACATGGATCTTAAGTACTCTTTAATCATCAGTTGTAATTATCTTGCAAGTGAGTAGACAACTGCTTTAGGTTAAACACCTCGCTGCTCTACAGGAAAAAGGTGACTGAATAATGTAAAAACGCTACTAAAAGTAAAAACTCTGTCAATCTGGATGAAAATAAGTATTCACAAGCTGGAGGAAAATATGTAAATTATTCATGTATTACTATGAATAATGTTTTCCTTTGGGGAACCATACACTTAGCTTCAATTTTACTAAAATTGATGGAGTGTTACAAAACCATCGCAAAAAGAGGTGTAACTGGCAGAATAGACCCAGTGCTTGTTGCAGTGAAGTAAATACGCAGAGCCTGTCAGTATTCTTTTATAGGAACTTTTGTTTAGTGTGGTTTCATATGTGTTCTTTATTCTTTTTTTCTCTGAAGTGTGAGAGAAGAGCTCATGCTGCGCGAATGTGCAGCGATGCCTCCCCAGGCTGCCACAGAACCTGCTGGGGCTCTCTGAGCTGCCCGTGAGCCGTACTGCAGGAGGTTGGGGCCCCTTGGGAGACGTTTACAAACAGCCTAAGACCTATTTTCAGAAGTTACTTGAGCATTTAAGATTGGAAATCTTATTAAAGGCTGATGGGTGTTAGGCTTCTAGAGCCTAATAGCCCTACTTGTAAAAGTCTTATATATGTGTAAAAGCGTGGCTGGGTGGTTACTGGCAGCTTGGACAGCACATGCTCTCTTACTGCCAGTTTAAATTCTTACAAGTAGAGCCATTGAAAATCCACTTTTCCTATCAAGGTCTTTATGTGCTTAGAAGCCTTGAAAAAAAAGGGAAATTATTTTGGAAAAAAATAATTCAGTCCTCGAGCATTCAGATATTTCTGAAAAGTTACCGTGGTTGTCTACTTCTAGTGCCTTTGTGCAGCACGTGGATGTTGTTGCTGTTTCTCATAAGCACTAGTTGGAGAGGTAGATGCAGTGTTTGTGTGCGTTAGGAGGGCAGACTTTCAAAAATACGTTCACAAATGTGATCCCAAACAAAATTCTCTTTTCCCTTTTATTAAATCCTTTTTGATACAAAATATGCCTGGTCCTGAGTTGGCAATAAACAAAAGGTAATATATTGGAGCTGAAGAGCATCTAGCCGTGACTGTGCTGTGGGAACTGAGATACCCAGTGCCTTTTAAGACTGAGTCCAATGTCTTTATTACTGAAGCATTCTGATGGTTGAAAGCTGTACTCATTGTTTCAGAAACACTAATCTGTTTTATTAAGCAATGTTTTTACTTTCAAATATGTTCAACAGGCTTGCGGTGTTATTAAATCCAGAGTTATTTTCTTATGTTGATGTAACCTTAACATTTCTTGCTTTGTTTGGGGATGAATGAGATCCAGTTATTTGATGAAGTGTCTATTGGTAATATTTCTACTTTTTAATATATTTAATAGCTTCCTCTTTCCAACACAGCTGTACATATGGTGCTGTAAGAGACAGACTCGAGAGTCACCAGGGTATTGCAAAAAAGATATTTAATATTCTGCACAATGCTGAATCCTGTCAGCAATTCCCCAGAGCTTTTTTAGTAAGGAGGTATGAGAAGTGAAGGCTACCAGCTGATTCTGAATTCCTAGAATTGAAGAGTGTGGGGTGTGTGACATCCAGCTTTTTGTATTTTATTTCATATTTTATAATTTGGAAGCAATACATTTACAAATTCACCGCAACTTGAAGAACATATTGGAGAGAAATAATCCTTCTTTCTCTGTAACATTTTTTTTTGTTGTGTTACTTGTGTTACCAACTTCATACAGCAAACTTTTTAGGCAGAGGCCTTGTGGTGAGATTTGCTCTGGAACAAGATTTAATGAAACAAAGCAAAGTATCTGCTATAATTCAATAATGAAAATTCTGTGTGCATCCTTTTTCTTCCCAAAACTGGGAATTTCTTAAAAGTGAAAACTCCTGGAACAGTTAGATGCAGATGTGGCTCAGATGGTCACTCTTTAGGTTTCTTCCCGAGATCTCAGCCAAAGCATGTGCAGGATCCCAGCTTATTTTTTCTTTGTCTTGGTGGAAAAAGTGCCATCACCCTGTGGTACCTTTGTAAGTGTGTCTCTGGCAACCCCGCTTGTAGTCAGAAATGGGCAGGCTCTTCAACTTGCTCTTTTCTCCTGAGTTGAAAGCTAGGTCCAGATGCTGAGAGTTTTGACTGAGCTGTTTTTAACTATTTGAAAAGCGTGGGAGATACAGCTTTATTGGAGATACGTTTCTGATCTTAGATTTCTGCCATCTTTTAATTGTTTGCAGGAGAATCCTATGGCTTTTTTTATTTTAATTGTTAAATACATCTTTTTTTGTCTGGTATTCTAGAATAAATGCACCTCTTCTGCTCTTGCAGTTGAAATTTAAATGATGTTAAATGAATCTGTTGTTTTAAAGCATATATTTGTAAAACAACATGTATTTGTAATTATTTCAATTCAGTTGTTATTCATCATTGCCTTAATACTGCTGATGATTGAACAATGTTTAACACCAAGCAAGTTTTTGAATTACCATAGAGCAAAAAAAGCCACTTATTGATGTGTTTTAATTCACTGCAGTATTTTTCAGTAGCTTTTCTTTAATGAGTGTGCTCAGGTTTTTTTCTCCTGCGTGCTAATGTGCCCAGCAATAGAAAAAATATTTTCTGCTAGCTTCTACCACGATGTTACTTACTTCATCAGCACTCATTTGGTCCTTGTTGCCCTCTAACTCCACCCTGTTTATTGCCCATTTCCTTCGCTGGCTTTCTTGAAGAGCTAATTTTATTCCATGTTCAGCTGATGTAGGATGCAGCACTGCTCTGGAATGCAGAATGCAGAGGGAGGCAGGCGGTGGTAGTTATTACTTCTTACAGAAATTTTGTTGGAGGAGACTTTTTTGATTTGTGACTTAATTCCTCCTATCCCTGGTTTCTGTAATACCACAGTCTCCCCTTCTCACCTCCAGATTGCAGCAGTACTGACAAAAATGTTTATTTGAGCATAATACAGTAAAGGAATCTTGGCCTTATCTAAGATGTTTCTCCTCTGCTGACATCGGTCGTATAAAATAATCACAAGCAACTCATGAAATGAGTAAAAAAACCTAAGGAGTGAACTGATCAATACCACTCTATTGTAAGCACTTTTCCTTATGACCACTGAGCTTCCTGAAAGGTATGAGAACGTTGTGACTTCCTCCAAATTAATATGAATTCCTTCTTGGAAGCCCCCACCTTTTACACAGAAAGGTTCCTCTTCGATCGCCTCTGCCCTGCCTGCATCCGCAGGAGTAGAAGCAGGAGGGTGGGTGGCTTCAAATGCAACTTGAGTGATGAGTAAGCAAACAGCTGCTG